TTTCCACCCCATATGTCCCAGCAAAGATGTTGCATGTTGGAGGGCCTCTGGATACACAAGTGTACTATTTCACAAGTATTTCTGGTGCCAACTCTTCTTGGTTAGTGCAAGGCCCCAAAGTCACCCGGATTGGTTTTTGGAATGATTCAAACACAGCCACAACTGCAAAGAGCCCAGGAAGAATCCAAGTACTTAACATGATAAAGCTTCCTAAAGACTGGCAGGCCTTGGGCTCTGATCACCCATTCAACAACTCAGGCCTGTTCTGAACCCAACTACGGGGTAGGTGAGAGGGTTGTGGAGATGGATTAGATATGACCCTTGTTCTTGGGGTGTTCACTTTTTTTTTTTTTTTTTTTCAGCAACAGCCGTGGTTTAGAAGTAGCTTGGGAGAGGAAAAACCAAGTGGATTGTGGAGCCATTCAGAGACTCTTCAGAAGCAGCATTGTGCCGAAAGAGCACCTCAAATATGCCAAACTCTGGAGAACCCAAAAACACAGCAGAGTTAGCATCTAAGTGAGGATATTTTGTTAATTCTTAGATGTTCAGTAATTGTGGAAAAACACCCACTTCTTTCAGGAGAATGGGGGTTAAAGTGGAAGTGAAGTGCAGCAAGAGTGAGCCCACAGAAAATAGGTGAGCTACCACAGGCTGCCTGGGAAGAACTGTGGAAGGAATGGCCTTGGAGCTGAGCCTTGGGATAATTAAAATCAGCAGAGCAGAGTGCAAGTGTGGCTCCAGAATCAAACTAGGCAGAAACAGAATAGCAAGAAGCGCATGCACAAGAGTCATTCAATATGGCAGCCACACAGACAGTTAGTGGGTGAGAACAATGGCAGCAGGCGGGCTCTGTTTTTAACATATTTATCAAGGAGTAAGTTAAAACATCACAGAAATTACCCATTGCATGTGCCAGTCTTAGTGAAAGGATCAGACTAACTTTGTAACCTATATGTCTTCTAAAGCCTATAGTTTTGAGTTTTAGGTCCAGGTTAAGCTAAATCCTCGTAGTACCTTTCCAGAGAACAGAGGAATGTGACCCTGGCCATCTGTAAGGACAGAGATAAAAAAGCAAGCAAGTAATGACTTTCACTCAGCAAAAAGAATGACCAGACCCTTGTCTTCGAGATAGTGTTTCTTAGCACCAACCCAGATGGACTCAATCCTTCTTCTGAGTAGCCCCTGACCTCCGGCCAAAAGCCCGAAGCCCCAATCTTCAAGGATGAGCTAATCACCCCCACCTTTAATTGCAGCTGCATCCACACTTGGCAGGACTGTCCAAGCTTGAGCACCTAAGACTAACCAATTATCTTACTTTATAGCTTCCTCATCCAATCCTGAATTGCCAAGACTGTAACCCCTGAAAATTCCCGAGCCTTGTCCTTTAAAAACCCCAGGCCTTTGTCTCCCAGGGCCACTCCTCGCTGACCAGCAGGGCTGACCCCATTGTGTAACGGTTAAAATAAACCTCTTGTGCTTTTGCATTGATGAGACCTGGTCTCCTGAGCTCTCTTCATCCCTTCTGGAAATTAGGCTCCTGCTGGGCCTAACACTTAGAGTCCTCTAGCTCTGCTGCTCATTTACCATGGAGAGGGAGTGCAGGGCTATCAACCTGTCTGTAAGGGTTGTCTACGAACAGACTCTAGAATCAGCTGGGACTGATCAACCTCTGCGCATGTCTGGGGATTATCGTGATCACAATAACTGAACCGAGAAGACATGCTCATCGTGGGCTCTACATCCCCTGGCTGGGACCCTGGGCTGTGTAAATGAAGCAGAGGAGAGGAACCCGCAGGGTCATGCCTTTATCACTCTCCCGATTGCGAAGTGACCAGTGGCTGCTGTAAGTCCCTGCTGCCTTGGCTTTGTTGTGATGGGCTGTACCCTGAACTGTGGCCAAGATTAACCCTTTCTCCATTAAACTTATTTTAACTTAATGGTATTTTATCACTGCAATTAGAAAAGACACTAAGATCCATCCCAAAATATGCTACCAGGGTGTGCTGACTTTTAGTTAAATGAACTTAGTGGAGAATGTGTGCTTAAAAGCAGCTTTCCTGTCTCCCCCTTGTCTGCTTAAAGCCCAAAGCCACAAAGAGAGATGGTTATTTGCAGTGAGAATCTTGTAATTTTGGTTTCTTCAAGAAACACAGGAATATTATAAGAATGTGGTTTTGTTTTAATCCCAGGCGTGGGGATCTGTGGCTGCTTTATAGCAGGTGACTATGATTTGCCTCGTATTCTAGCAGGGGTGGGGTTTGCCAGCTGCAGATAGTTTCTGTGAGTGTGTGACATTTTGGAATTCTGGGAACTTTTTTAGAGGATATAAATGCTAGGGCCCCAAGAGGTGGCGCTGTTGTTGTTGGCTGGTTGGTGGCTGGATGATGCTGTTAGTTGCTGTTTGTCAAGTAGTCCTGCACAAAGAAACAAGAAGAATTTAGATATCTTACTGGCAAAGATCAAACTTGCCCGAAGGAACTTGATGCCCCTAATGAGCAGGAAGTGGTCTAACGCTAATTTTGCCCCCTTTCCCCTCTACCCATTTTTCTCTCCTGTCCAGTGTTAGGGGATTAATAAGGATGGAGAAGGATGGAAGAAAAAGAAACCTATAAAGCAGCAAGTTATCTCTAGCTCTTCCGAGCTTCCATGAACTAAATGAAAACTGAAGGAAGATTGGAATCTGTCAACACCAGTTACACAGATGCCACACCTGCTGTACTCTGTTTCAGAGGTGAATAAACCATCTCTTTTGTTCCTTTGAGGCAAGAATTCATTAATGAGTGTGATAACTTGGATAACATTTTGTCTCTTATGAATAATGCTGCTTTAGGTATTCACATGTAAGTCATTGTGTGGGGATGTTTTCATTTGCTTGACTTAGCAAGTGAAAATACAGGATGGCTAGTTACATTTCAATGTCAGATAAAAAAGCAACACATTTTATTCTATTCGCTATATTAGGATATTCTTACAATAAACATTTTTTTTCTGTTTATCTGGTATTCAAATTTCATTGAAAATATTGTACCTTCTACGACAGGCCTATTGCACATAGATACTTGGGACAGGAACAGCTGGGTTATGAGACGGCCATTTCTAAATTGGGTTATCTTACTTACTGACTTTCGAGTTCATATATTCGCACCCTGACATGCCTCAAAGAATGTTTGCCACCAACCTAATCAACCTGAGTTTGACAGCGCGAGCCCCACAGGTCTACATGGCGGGAAGAGCCTAATCCCCCAAGTTGCTGCATGCACCAAGATGCACAGTGCGCCAACATGCGGCGCGTGCGCACTCACAGAATGTAATTTTAATGTCCTTTTGAATATATCCGCAACAATTTTTCTCAGGCATACAGGATGCAGATGTTTTCAGTCTGGTTTGTCCCTTTACTCTTAATGGTGTTTTGTTTACCCTAAAAGATTTCTTAATTTTGACAAAGTCCAATTCAACAATTTGTTCTCTTAATGGGTTTTGTTGAAGTCTTTTGCTTGCTTCTTATATTTCCTTCTAGAAACTGCATGCAAAACTGGGAAGACTGTAAGAATTTAACTAACCCTCTTGCTGTCTTTTTCCTTTTGAAATATGGCCAGCCCCAGCCCCATCTACTGAATGCTATTCTTTATCCTACTGGGTCATCTTAGTATGTTCCAGTATTCTTACAAGTGTTTACTTCTTGACCTTTTGTTTCACAGCTCTGCACATCAACCTTCATGCCAACAAACTCTCCAGAAGAGGGGGTCAGATCCCTTGGAGGTAGGAGTTACAACCAACTGACTCCAGTATGGGTGCTGAGAACTGAACCCAGGTCCTGTGCAAAAGCAGTGTGCCCTTCTAACAGCTGAGCCATCTCCCCAGCCCTGGGATTTTTTTCCTTTGGTGGTAATGAGGGCCTCAGACCTGCTAGGTGAGCATGCCGCCACTGAGCTCTGCCCCAGCACTTCCCTGCTATGACACCCTTCTTCAGCCTGTTCCACTCATTTCTAGTTTTACCTTAAAGCCCACTTTGGTATTAATAGAGGACTTCCAGTATCTTAATCGTTGCTTTGTATTTTCCCTATAATTTCACCTTCAAAAGATTTACATCTGAATCTAAAGAGTGTCTCTTTAGATTGCTGATATTCTCTGATAGTTCTACCACCTATAGCTTTTGGATTTTGTTTAAAGACAAGTGCTCTGTAGCTCATGCTGGCTTGAGAAACACAGGCCCAGGGTATTCCCAAACTTGGGATTGTTAGATCTCTACCTCCCTGGTGCTGAAATTACAGGCATGCAACAGCATAACCAGCCTAATGAATGATTGGTTAATTCATGTCTGCCATTTTGCAAACACTTCTAAAGTCTGGAGCCCTTTTGTTTCTGTTTTGTCCTTTATGTTAAATATCTTCACTGTACTATTCTTGTTTTTGCTGTTACTCTAACCAAACTTTAGTGATGTTTTAGTGGCTGGTCTCAGCTGCAATAATTTGCATGTCAATCACAATTTTTGGATTGAGGTTCATGCAATTCCAATAAATACAGGTTGTTCCATTACTGTTCCATTTCCTAATCTGCCATGCTGCTATCACATGCTGTATCTATGATGAAGACTCAACAGTATAGTGTTGTAATTATTGCTTTATGCAACTTAATGTAAAGAAAACACATACTTACTGTGGTAGCCCAATGTCTCCCCATACTTGCCATCTGGTTATTTAACCCAGCATGAACCTTTTGTGCTGAAGTGGAAGGGCTGTGATGAAATAGAGACTACTAACCAGGAGAACATCCTAATTTGCCTCAAAAGGCCCAGGAGCAAAGTAGAAGAACCAGATGAAATGTAGAAGGAAATGTGTGAAGGATCTGCAGCTGTGGCTGGCTTGGGTAAATGGAAAGGGGAACCAGCCAAGGAGAGAGGGTAGCTTCTAGACACTCATCAAACAGTGGATTTTTATGACAATCTGACTGATCTTGGGAGCTTATTCAATCTTTTCTAAAAAGAATGCACCCACTGGCACTGGTGGGACAAAGTAAGTTTATTTGCATTGCTTCTGTTTTCTACTGTAGTGTTAGGACGAAACTTAAGCATCTCCCTAGTTTCTATTTACAGTTCATCTGGAATATTACTACACATACAATGTACAATTTTAAAAACTTATGGGGAAATGCAGTTTTTTTTTTTTCTTCTTCACAGGCTTCTCAAAATCATTCAACCTAAATGCAAATTTCTATGGACATCTGTACATATCTGAAAGGGCAGAGATCACACCAACAGAGTCAAAAGACTTTTGCACAAATACAATAAAATACAGAAAACAAAGTAAAGATGATGTTATTTGGGGTACAAATATAAACAATACAGTACCATCTGAGTAACTTAGCAACATAATACTCACACTTTATCAAAATAAAACTGCAAACCTGGAGGATGCTGACAAATATTAAACATTATATACACAATGAGGTAAATGTACCTTGGTCTCTTGAGAGGTAATTTAAGTTTAAAGCAAATGACATTTTGAAGCATCTCCTTGACATATAAAGAAAAATCAAATACTCCATTCCATTGGCACAATGTGAAAAAGGGATTATCAAAACACAGTTCATGATATTCAACTCACAAATTTCATTGAAAAAATAAAAGCAACCCACTTTAAGTTTTAAGAAGAGGCTGAATATTACAATATTTTAAAAATGTTTACAAGTAAGTGCATAACAAGGATTGAAAATAATGTTCCGACAGCCCACAGCTTCCCTAGAGAGGCCCACGGAAGTTTCAACACATGACATGGCACTGTATTCCAGAACTATTTTTCCACGTCTCCACACATCAATGTGTTCTGCTGGGCTGTGACAGAACATCTGGAGTCTCCACGATGTGGAGCCAGAACACTCCCATGACCAAGGAACAAAGAAATGATTTACAATCATTCTTTCAGTACGTGGAGTGAAAACACAAGCTTTCGCTACGTCTACTGGGCAGATTTTGGTGTGCATGTTAATTAGCACTTTGTCATTGGTTTTACATCTCTGACAGTTTTCAGGGGGAGAGTCAAGCATGTATGGATAGCAAAATGGTCAACTGACCACTAAATCTGCAGTGAGAACCAACGTCTGGAATTCCTGATGGCCACGGCACCACACAAGGCCTCAAGGCACTTCTTGAGTGCTACTGTAGTAGCAGGATTATAGGCTCAGCTCTTCACATCCTACTGTCCTGTCCTACTAGAAACACAGCTGGCCACTGCTTCTGAGGTCAACTCCCACTGCCACTTGCCTGTTACCCTACTCTTTGCACAGGTCTAACTCAAAGCAGCGCTACCAGCAGGAGCATCCCCAGCCCTATATCTGTACCATCACTCGCTGTGATGCCCAGTGACTCAAGGAAGTGGGAGAATGTCACATAGCTTCCACTTCATTTTAGGTCTCAAGAACAGCTCTTATGTCCAAAGGCTGGAGGTGGGGTGAGGGGCAACAGTCTTTCAGACAGGGGCCAGCAGAGTGGGAAAAACAGAACTCAAGATTTAAGGAACACAAGTTGTCTAAGCCTTAGTCAGTCATACTTCCCTCATGCTCGGTCAGCCACAGTATTGACAAGATGATATGTATTTGTCAGAAGCTATGTTTTAGCCACATTACATCTTGGAAAGGGACAGGAGAGGATCTTTGATAAGCAATATAAATGATAGACTAATTACAAAATGACATAAAAGTATTTTCCTAATTAGATGTATCTATAGTCATAGTCATATTAACCATGACCTATCTCAGCTTTTAAGTTATTTTCATATTCAGTATTGGCCACCGGGGGATTATCAAACTATCCCTAGACAAAAAATTAGCTGCAAACATGTAAACTCAATTGAGAACAAAATTCCAACTTTAAAAATTTCCCTGATTCATCAAAAGCACATTTTATCTACTGAGACAAAAACATAATGATTCTTCACCTCTGATGTGATGAGAAGTGTTTTCAGTAAAAACCCATTTCCTTGTATGAAAGTGAGAAATGTATTACAACTTTAACTCAGACAACTTTTGGTACGGTCTTAAAATTACATGAAAAGTTTTAGTGATAAAATGCATTGGTCCCCTGGATTTCTATAAAGCAGATCTCAAAGGGTTAGGAATAGAATAAACAAAAAACAAAGGCCCCAAAAGTACCTGATCATAACACAAGAGCATGTTAAGTAGGTGACACACACAACTCTAACAAAAAAACCCTCACTACTTAATGCTGATGAAATCATTTATAGTTACGGAAAAACTCAAATTTGTATTCAAAACCACTAAACTCTAAGCACTTTCTCTCATGATGTTTTTAAATGCATGAAACTGAGACTAATGCCTAGGAAACATGTCATTCATTCTACAGTTACTTTGGTTTAAGACCAGTCTTCAAATTTATGCTAGGTTTGAGATAAGACATTAACAGAATGCAGCCATTTCATATCAACAGTCACAATCTCGTCTTGGCTAAACACTACAGGTTATTTTGACCTTTTTATCTAGGAATTGGTATCACGATGTTCAACATCTTGTCTCAAGCAATGATAACATTTTCCCCCTAGAATATGATCACAGTGATAAAAAAAAAAAAAAAAAAAAAAAAAAAAACAACTTTAAAAGCCACAGGAGCCCTGCAAAGACTGGACAGCACTGAAGTAAAACCGAAGGCTTGAACCAGCTAACTCCAGCACTGGAGAGAATAGGCTGACTTTGACATTTCATATGACCAAGAGTACATGAAGAGAGCCTCTACTCAGAATGGCTACTAGCTGCCACTTCTCCTAGTATCAAGGGTGCACTAAATTCAGTGCCACCATGTAAATCAGGCAGTTACAACAAAAAAGACCGGCTTAAAAGCTGCCTTCCTCAAAGTGTAGTGAGACTTCAAAGCACCACTAACTCTATTCTTCCCAAGACAGAATCCACAAACTCTTATAGCTACATGTGAAAGTCACCTACACCTGTTGTATATTCAAATTAGCTATCTCTGCCTTCCTAGAAAAAGGCCTATCATTTAACATTAACCACATTTGAATTTTAAATGCAAACCCTTTCCACAAAAGAAAGAACAGAACAAGACAAAACAAAACACTGTCTTTGATCAGATAAAGAAAAATAAATGGCTTACAGAATAGCACGCAACTTTTCACAAGGCAGTAGACAAACTTCTCCTTTCAGACGGAGTCTGTATGTCACAATGATTAAATCCATAAAGCACTGTGCGTGTCTGGAGTGCCACTTAACTTTTAAAAATAAACTCAGGAAACACATCTCAAGTGCAAAGCTCCAGAGCTCAGTGGGGGGATTTTCCCACATGAGCAGTCCCTACTTATTAATGCTACTTCATTGCCTCAGTGGTTCAAGCACATTTGGGTAGGAGAAAGGCATAAATACTGAATGACATCTACCCCAAAAAGTGTTTAAAAACAAAAATAAACCCAGAAAAGGTTTAGGTTATCCAGAAAAATAAACTGTTTGAATGAACATGATACAGGATTTGACAGACTTAAAGCAGTTCTGTTTCTATTTAGAAAGACGCAGAAGTGGCACTTACTGGTGTAGCACAACCCCACATTTAAGGTGTGTTGTGTTCCAAGTGCAGGAGCAGGAGCAGCACACAGACACAACTGATCAACTGTGCCCCCCTGCCTACACGAGGTCATATTTCTTAGACTACAGAGTTTAAGGTGTTAGTTTAAGATCCTGAAAAATTATAGAACAGTACATTCAAAGCAAATCAAGGAAACTCTAGTGGTTGGAATCCTCTAGAATGTACTACCAGGAGTGAAAACTAGAAGTGCTTCATCTAAGTCAGCGCTCCAGCCCCTTCACCCTCATAGGATGGCCAACAGCACAGCACTCCCAAAGGGCTGGTGGTCATCTTGTAAAACAAGCTGTGTTAACAGAAACAAGCAGACTACACAACATTGTGTAACTGTCCACGAAGAAGCATCCATCCATAGTGCACAGAACGGAGCCATGGCTGCCTCTGGGCCCAGAGCAACCCCGGGAAGCTTTCAATTGACCATATTCCACTGCAGCAAGAGGAGGCAAAGGCCTCCGTTCTCTCAGTGAGGTAGAGCAACCGACCTCCCACACACACTCAGGAGCAGATACAAGAGAGCAAAGTTCCCACGGAGCTTCAGTTACATTTTGATTCCTTCCTGTTGGCTGAGTTGTGACAATGTTTTTTTAATTCGCAAAGCTGTCAGCCTAGCTGCTCCATTGGCATACCAACATTCTCTCATAATTTTAGCCATCACTCTCAAGGCCTACAAAGAAAACAGAAGAAAAATAATGAGTGAACACAGACCACTTGCAATTACGCATCTGGTAAGAACGTCCATCCCACTTTTTAAATGATATGTGGAAGGTTTCTATCCTAGCACTGTCTGTAGTACCAAGGGAGACCTTTAGTTTCTGTCAAGACCCTGGTTCCAGCTGCTGGAGGAGCTGTGGACGGGGAGCTTTCTCAGGGGACCTCAAAATGCTGACTCCCGAGTCAGCTCTGCAAGAAAGGCGCCTGAGACACTAGGTAAGAGTGTAACCACGCTGTGAGACACTTCAGAGCAGATCTTTGTGCACACAGCAGGGGAAGATGCAAAGTGCTAAAACCCAGCCACCTCTTGAGCCCAGCAGAAGGTCTGAGCACTCTGTCTGCGGAAGGACACATCCCTGGCTGCGGAGCAGAAGGGCAGGCATCTCACACTGGAAGCATGCTGGACTCTCAGACTGTAAGGTTTCTTCTGGAATAGGGTAGAAGCACCTGTGCACGCTCTACTTGGTGGATTCTGAGGGGATTTCCAGGGAGATGTGGGCAGTCCAAGAGAATAGGCCTGACAGATTACCAACAGTGACTTTCTAAGAAAACAACCCAGAGAGGTCACTTAGAGAGGACACACATAAGTTCCAGTCACCAGCACAGGGGTTCTATAAGCACCTAGGCCCTCTTTAAAAGTGCAAAAGGGTCTGATCATACATTTGAAAAAAGTTAATGTGAAATGGAGAAACAAGATGTGAGCAGAGCGTTTCAAAGCTCTATTGTTAGGCGTAGCTCCTTTGCAGTGTTTGCACAGTATGTAGAAGGCCTGGTGTTCTGACCCACTACCACCAAAACACTGAGATCTATCGATGGTTCACGTGTTTTGTTGAAGTTTATTCTCTGCGTAGTCTTCATACTCAGCGTTACTTTACTCTCCCACAGTGCTTCCTCCAGTCCCTGTGTCTACTGATAGACAAATAAGGTTCTGTAAGTGGTAAATAGGAGGAACATTCAGAAAACAAATAATTACTTCCGGAAATTAAAAATATGAGAGAAGGTAAGGTGAGGGTATGGGGAGGAGGGGAAAAAGGAGAATGAGAATATACATGGAAAAACTGAATTGGAATATGAATTTGATAAATCTTCCAATAAGTGGGGGGGGAAATGGAGGGTGGAAAGTTTTATATTCCGGTAACCAAAGGTGAAGAAAAACAAGAAAAGGAAATGGAAGGCTATCTAAGACTACTTCAGAAGTACTTCCTAGGAAAAGGTGCTTCTAGGCTTAGAGGACCATGTGCCGGTGCACACATATACATTCAGCTAAACAACTAGTTCTGAAAGCCTATCATTTAACAAATGTTTCTGTGTTAGATACAGCAGTGAGCAAGCTTATGAAATCCCTGTTCTCAAACACCTTGCATTCTAGAGATAAACCAATTAATAAATTACTGCGAAACACAGACCTTCCAGGTGATAAATACCAAGAAGACAAACAATGTAGAGGAGGTAGGACATGCCAAGGGGGGTAAGCACTATTCTCAGTGGGAAGGGACATGCCTAATTTGAACAGAGTCCTGATAACGGGAGCAAACAAACAAGAAGGTGGAGGCCCACGAAGGAAAAAATAAATAAATAAAAAGGAATTCTAAGGAAAAAAAACCACACAGTAGCCCTAAGAGCAAACAGTCCAGACTGGAAACAGCAGAAGACCCAGGAAGAGACATGTATGTATTATCAGTTTGGGGTTTTAAAGGTTTATTTATTTATCATTTGCACAGTGTTCTGCCTGCATGTGTGTTAGCAGGCCAGAAAAGAGCACCAGATCTCATTGTAGATGGTTGTGAGCCACCATGTGGTTGCTGGGAGTTAAACTCAGGACCTCTGGAAGAGCAGTCAGTGTTCTTAACCTCTGAGCCATCTCTCCCTGCTATGCATGTTTTAATGCAGAGTGAACCTAGAGACGCGCACACACACTAGGCAGGCACTTTAGCATTAAACTGTATGTTGAATCTTTTAGGGTATTTTTCATTTTTATTTAGATATTGTACCAAGGCTGGCCATACACTAGAGCTCTGTAGCCAGGCAGGACTTGACCTTGTGACATTTTTGACTCAGCCTCCTGAGCAGCTAGGATCACAGGCCTGTGCCAGCGAGCTTAGCCAATTCCATACTCTTATGTGTTTCAACTAAGGGGTTTTCAAACCCTAGGAAAGTAGAAACTTGAAACAGCAATAAATACACAGAAAACTAATAACCAAATCGAGAAGAGAACATGGTAGCCACGGCATTTATCAGCATGCCCTACCAATAACTGCAAAACGCATGCGTTCTCACGCTAACCGAGAAAATAACAATGGAAGCAATGGCATTAACCAGAGTGCCGTAACTGTAACTGTGAACTGCACATTCTTTTTCTATTTATTTTATTAATTACAGTTTATTCACTTTGTATCCCCCCATAAGCCCCTTCCTCCTCCCCTGCCAGTCTCATCCTTCCTCCCCCTTCTTCACGTATGCCCTCCCCAAGTCCACTGATAGGGGAGGTCCTCCTCTCCTTCCTTCTGATCAGATCCCATCATGCAGGAGTGGCTGCATTGTCCTCTACTGTGTCCTGGTGGGGCTGCTCCCCCCTCAGGGGGAGGTGATCAAAGAGCAGGCCAATAAGATTATGTCAGAGGCAGTCCTTCTTCCCATTACTATGTAACCCACTTGGACACTGAACTGCCATGGGCTACATCTGTGCAGGGGTTCTAGGTTATCTCCATGCCTGGTACTTGGTTGGAGTATGAGTCTCTGGGAAGACCCATGTTCAAATTTTCTGGTTCTGTTGCTCTCCTTGTGGGGTTTCTGTCCTCTCCAGATCTTACTATTTCCCACTTCTTACATAAGATTCCATGCACTTTGCCCATCAGTTGGCTGTAAGCCTCAGCGTCTGCTTTGATAGTCTGCAGGGCAGAGCCTTTCAGAGGCCCTCTGTGGCAGGTTTCTAGGTTGTTTCCTGTTTTCTTCTTCTGATGTATATCCTCTTTGCCTTTCAGGATGGGGATTGAGCATTTTAGTCAGGGTCTTCTCTCTTAATTAGTTTCTTTAGATGTACAGATTTTAGTAGGTTTATCTTATGTTATATGTCTATATGAGTGAGTATATACCGTGTGTGTCTTTCTGCTTCTGGGACAGCTCACTCAGGATGATCCTTTCCAGGTCCCACCATTTACCTGCAAATTTCATGATTTCCTTATTTTTCATTGCTGAGTAATAGTCCATTGTGTAGATGTACCACAATTTCTGTATCCATTCTTCAGTTGAGGGGCATCTGGGCTGTTTCCAGCTTCTGGCTATTACAAATAAAGCTGCTACAAACATGGTTGAGCAAATGTCCTTATTGTGTACTTGAGCCTCTTTTGGATATATGCCTAGGAGTGATATGGCTGGATCTTGAGGAAGCGCTATTCCTAGTTGTCTGAGAAAGCGCCAGATTGATTTCCAGAGTGGTTGTACAAGTTTACATTCCCACCAGCAGTGGAGGAGGGTTCCCCTTTCTCCACAACCTCTCCAGCATGTGTTGTCACTTGAGTTTTTTCATCTTGGCCATTCTGATGGGTGTAAGGTGAAATCTCAGGGTCGTTTTGATTTGCATTTCCCTGATGGCTAATGAGGTTGAGCATTTCTTTAAATGTTTCTCTGCCATTTGATATTCCTCTACAGAAAATTCTCTGTTTAGCTCTGTTCCCCATTTTTTAATTGGATTTCTTGGTTTGCCGCTTTTCAGCTTCTTTAGTTCTTTATATATACTGGATATTAGCCCTCTGTCAGATAAAGGGCTGGTGAAGATTCTTTCCCACTCTGCAGGCAGTCGTTTTGTTTTGATGATGGTGTCCTTTGCTTTACAGAAGCTTTTCGAACTGCACATTCTTAACGTTAGCCAATTTCTTCCTGCTTAAAAGCTGTCTGTCTTTAACTGCTCCAGTTCCTAAATGTATATGTGAGTACTTCCAGTCTGTGCTCTCAAACCCAGAGACAATTTTAAAGCACAGTCTTGTGTGTTGAGTTCCTATCACATTCTGGGCACACTGACTTGTCTGCTCTGGGTCTGCACACTTCGTTTGCTTAAGGTGTCATACTTTTTTTTTAACTTAAAAAAAATTCTTATGAAAAAGGGAAACATCCGTTTTCGTTAAGTTCACTTTCCCCATGTAATCTGTAACATTTGGGTTAGAGTCCCACCTGTAATTTTTTTTTCTAGGAATGCATATGTTTGGTAATTTCCTAACAATGCACAGTACAGCTTTGTAGAAATTACCATACTACAAGAGGGACTTTCCTAAAGTCACAAAATACCACCTTAGTATAAGTCCTTGGGGGTCCATTAAGAGATCTAACTTTGTTGTTATTTTGAGATAGGGCCTCCTATTGCCCAGATTGGCCAGGAACTCAGGGAAGTTGAGCTTAAAACTCCTGAATCTCCTGCTTTGACCTTTGGAATACTGGAACGACAGGCCCGTGTACCACCACCCTGGCTTAAAGTGATGTTGGGAAGCAACCCCCATCCTCTAGCAGACTAAGTCTGCATTCTACCACCTCAGCCTCAGCCCAGGAGCACAGTGATGTCAGAAGAGACACTGAAGTATCCAGCTCTTCTTTCATTTTTGAGAGTTCACCTAAACTATGAAACTTTAAAGTTGGAAGGCACACCCTGAAGCACTAATATAACAGTAACAGCTATTAATAACATCTGTCTTATGTAAAAGCTGGGGACGACATAGCCAGACTCTGTTGGAAAGCACCGCCTCCCTTCTGAGCCCTACACAACCCTAGGAACATAGGTCACCCATCTGAAGCTCTCTGCAATGAGTGAACCCAAGCTCCTCATCTTACAAAGGGGTACTAAGTTCCAGAGAACTGATGCACCCTGTCCATGTCTGAGTCTGAAGTGGGAGCCCAGCTAACACTGACAAGCATCCTCATCCTGCCCAGTGTCTATCCCGGTACTCTGGGTGCACTGGCCGGAGGGAGGCATCCATTTCAACAGCAGGCACTGTACTTCATTTGGCAGATCTAACCATGCTCAGACACACCAATGGCCACTGAAAATGTTTCATGGTCCTTTTAATACTTTTAAGTAAAGCGAATTATTTGATTTTTAACTTATTAATTTATGAAAAAGTAAATGAGTCCTAGCATTTTCTCTTATAGAAAAGTGACAAATATCTGCCTGCTAAGTAGAAACAGTTTAGCAAACAGCCTAGAATCAAAAGAAAACACTTACTTCACAGCTCTGCCATCTGTTTGGAATATTTGGCCTTAACTTCTGTTCACAAACTACTTTTCTCATTTCTTCAACTGACGGATCAGAAGGTACTAGATCATAATAAGGCAGCTGGTAGTCTTCATGAATTCCTGTATTGGTTTAAAAAAATCCAACTTAATCAGCTACTGCCCACCACTGAAAAGATTACATCAGTACATCAGGTAGGTGCTTGGGGCTTCACAGCTTTCTGAAACTCACCCACATGTCATCAATAAGCCACTCACTTGAGTTACTACTGGGCCTGCACGTCTGTGAAGGATAGTGTTGTCACCTTGGCAAAAATCTAAAATCGCCTGGGAGAAAGGCCTCAGGGCATGTCTGTGAAGGGTTATTTTGATTCACAGAACTGACATGGGAGGACTCATCCAAATTATGGGCAGGACTATCTCTTGGGCAGGGATGCGGGAGTGTATAAACTACAGAGGGCAAGCTGAGTCTCAGCATGCACTCACTGCTCTGTGCCTCATGCAGATGTGATGTGAGCAGCCCCCGAACTCCTGCCACTGTGACTTCCCTGCAGGATACACTTTAACTTGGAACTATGAGCCAGAACAAACCTTTCTCTTATACTACTTTGTCAGAGGATTGTATCACAGCAACAGGAAAAGAAACAAAGACAACTTTGAGCTGAGGGTGCTATGATGACCAGGCTGACATTTTTGCTGTAACTCTATTAGGCAGAAGATGAAATCTTATTGTGATTGCTGTCTCTCAATAGACATGCACATACTCTTCTAAGAAGATGTGAATCCCACAGGATTAGCTTGAGGTACAAATCCCTCCCTATGCTTGTGCCTGATAATAATACTGCTTCAAAACTAAACATCACCATCTAAAAACCTTGACATCCTAAGTCTCAGCCCAGATTCCTAAGCCTAAGAGACAGTGTTTTGAGCACACACTGACACGTAAGTTCTCAGTCTAATGTAAAGCCAGAAGTTAAAATAAACTTAATCTAGAAAGCAGGCAATGTTATTGAAATTATCATTATATATACATATTCAATAATCGAGCTGGAGAAAAACAACCAGTCTTTAAAAAGAAGTTGTTTAGCAGAGTCCATACGAGAAACAGCCTCTCAGGTGGCCTTTCAAGTAACTACAATCCAAGGTAACAAGAGCCTTGGTTCTCACACTGTCTAGGACTAAACAGCAGCAGCAGAAGCGAGATATAGCTCTGCGTTGGCGGAATTTATCTTTTGTTCCCTCTGGCATCCTCAGTGGTCACCTGTCAGTGTAGAATTTCAGAAGAAAGAAAACAATTCTAACTAACTTCTCATGACAAACTATTGGGGGAAGAACAGCAATTTACCACCAATAGAGCAGCGTCGTGCAATTTCCCAGAACACCAAGCCCATTGCATAGATGTCAGCACGTTTGAAGGATTCAAAATGTTTCATATTTATGGAATCATCTAGAACTTCCGGGGCCATGTACCTAAAAAAGAAGTCATCATTTCAGTCAACTATAAAGTATATTAGTTTTGAACTGCTTCATACGTTGCTTTTCCTTCTGGGAAAAGCACAGACACACAGTCTCACTCACTATGTAGCCTTGCTGGCCTGAAAAGTTACTATGTAGACTAGGATAGCTTAGAGATCCACCTAGCCTTGCCTCCTAAGAGCCTGAAATTAAAGGTGTACACCACCAAACACAGCAAACTTTTTCCCTTTTTTATTGTGGTTCTGCTGTCTGTTCTGCTGTCACACTTCCTATTAAAAAATTTCCCTAGAACATAAAGTACAAGGTGAAAAAAATCATCCTCTTACCGTGTAAACACATGGGTCAGTCTTTTCAGACACCTCCCTATACACAGAGATGCACATAAAATAGCATATAACTGAGATCATATCAGACCCAAACAAAATATTAAGCATATAAACTGGTTTGCAAATTAATGATGTTAACTAAATCCCATGAAATGCTGAAATGGTAGTTTCATGCAATCTGCCTTCTGATATGGTTTATGAAAGACACAGATTAAGAGCAGTGGCTATTACAAATACCCTTATGTACACCATGCTCATGTACTGCTTAGGGACCACATATTTTAATCTGGAAGCCTTCTCACAAAAAAAGGAAAGAGGAGATTTTATTGGGGACAAACTAAACGATAAAAGGAATGTCAGTCATGCTGATGCTACATTACCGATGACCATGCTCTGTAGTTTTTCTTTCTTTTTCTTTCTCTCTCTCTCTCCTCCTCCCTTTCTTCCTTTTGTTTTTAGTTTGTCGAGACAGGGTTTCTCTGGGTAGCCCAGGCTGTCCTGTTGCTCTGTAGACCAAGCTCGCCTACACTCTGTAGCTCTGCCTGCCCCTGCCTCCGGAGTGGCGGAAGTAAATGCACCACCACTGCCCGGCTGGACTCTCTCAACTCTGCTATAGTTATAGGTCCCACAGAACACGGCTGTGGCTCACTCAGCTAGCCACGAGTTCTGCCAGTCCCCACAGAACCCGGAAACTCTAAGTACAATTTAGGTCAACTAAAGCTCCTGGCTTTCTCCAAGTTCAAGGCATTAGTGCTGTGATTTTTAAACAAAGTAAGGCTTTGAGTAGAGTATCTCAGCTCATCAGCCACACGAAGCAGGTCACATTACTTAACCTTAATAAGGTGGTTTTCTCATCTGAATTACTAGTAGTGATACCTATCTACAGAGGTTTGTTTGAGAACACATGCATGAAACAAATACTAATGAAAGTGTATGAGGCACTTCAACAAATACCTGGAACACAAGGCTGATCTTAAGCTTCTTGCAATCCAATGTAATACACAGACCCAGACACATAAATGGACCATTACGAGAGAACACAGTTACAGTAAATGCCTCAAAGAGCTACTTATTGTGCTGTTCCAGGAACATGTAAGGGCCCTGAGGACCAGGAAAGGCTTCCTTGAGAAATGGAGAGATATTAAGAAAACAGTATGGGATGTATGTTCCAGGACAGCATACACAAATGTTCTAAGGAAGAAAGACAAAAGAAAATATGGAAACAGGCTTGCTATAGTTCAGAAATTGAGGGAAGCTACCAACTACTATTAGTTATTACTGTTCTTACAATTAACATTTGTAAGGGCTGCCCTATTAATAGGCTCATTTTTAAGTTAGGTATATAGGCTTCAGAGTAGCCAAGACCCTAAAAACTTATGAACAGTCTAATAAAGGACCAAGTCTGAGTTTCAGAAGAGACACAAATATGAAAATAGAGGTAAAAAGAAGATGACACCAGGCTATTAAACATCTTCACCCCACCCCCACCTCAATACAGGGATTCTCTTTGTATCCCTGTATCCCTTGGCTGTCTTGGACTTGCTTTGTAGACCAGGCCAGCCTCGAACTCACAGAGATCTGTCTGCCTCTGCCTCCCCGAGTGCTGGGATTTCACCATTTATTTCTAAGTGTACCTTTTAGTGCCTACTCTGTGGTTTGGAGCAATGTCAATTGTATCTGTGGCAGAATCATGTCTCACAGCAAGTCCCAAGTCTGCAATACAACAGGTTCCATTCTTCTTCACCAAGATATTCTTTGATTTCAAATCTCTGTGAGCAATAGCTGGCTTTCCTAGGAAACCCAAAGTTAGAGAGGACTGCTTAGCAAGAGACACCAATCACAATTCACATTTAGGTCAAAAGCCTTGCCTCTCCCAGTGTGAAGGCACTTGAGCTACATCACCTATGTAACAACTAGGCTATTACTAAGCTCAGTGACTCACTGTACCAAAAGGGATGAAATTCTGTTTAAATCTTCCGACAACATAAATCTAAGAATTAAACAACCAAGGTAAAATATTGGTTTGTGTGTTGAACTCTAAGTAAACTTGCAAATTTTTAATACCCCCCCCCCCCTTTCATTTTTGTTTTGAGACAGGGTTTCTCTATGTAGCCCTCGCTGTTCTGGAGCTCGCTTTGTAGACCAGGCTGGCCTTGAATTACAGAGATCCGCCTGCCTCTGCTTCTGCTGGGATTAATGGGGTGTACCACTACTACCACTGGTGATTTATTTTCGTTGGAAAAAACATTCAAATTTTTAAAAGCTACATGTCCCCAGTTAATTTCAAGTTCTGAATACATATTACATTCACATGAACTTAGGCTTAAATAACAGAACTGTAGAAAGTGTTACCTTGGGTACCAACAATCTCCATGTGAAGATGGGCAAGACCACTTGCCGTAGACAGAGCAAGTTTGATCATTCCTTCCACAGTAACAGTGTATCTATTCAAGTAATCAAAAAGAGATCCATGCTCATGATAATCTGACACCAACCAGAGCTGAGTCCAAGTACCATTGTCTGCAAACCAGAATACACGTTTTAGTTGGGCTATACAGCTTACTCAAATTGTTACACTTTTCAATCTATCTCACAACTGCAACATGGTAACTCCTTAAGTTTGCATGAATTCCTCCACATTTTTAAAAAAGATTTATTAATTTATTATGTATACAATGTTCTGTCTGCATGTACACCTGTATGCCAGAAGAGGGCACCAGATCTCATTCTAGATGGCTGTGAGCCACCATGTGGTTGCTGGGAATTGAACTTAGGACCTCTGGAAAAGCAGCCAGTGCTCTTAACCTCTGAGCCATCTCTCCAGCCCCTACATTCTCTTATATTCAGTTTTTCTACACTTTTATGTGTACATATTTCAGTAACCCCTATTCCTGAGATAAAGCAAGAATAATCCCATTTAAGAGAGAAGGAATCATATTCCAACAATGCTGTTTTCTTCATCCTATAGATAGTAGCAGAGCTCGTATTCCTTAGTGCCTAAGAAGGCACATGGTCCAGATTAGTTAGTGCTCCTTGCTGCTCTGGAGGAAGAAGGGCAGCAGGAAGTAAGGATAGGAAAAGGGAACACAGCATGGACTCAGTATGGATGGAATAGCATGTGACGGAACCGAAGTGAGCTTTGGTGAGAACTGACACGATTTAGTGACAAACTGTACAGTTCTCAAAGATGCCAGACAAGAGGATCATAATTTCACTGTTGCTAACTCAGAAAAAACAAGAATAGCGGTACCACTGACAGGAACTGAAGTGTCAGAAGAGAAGGCTAAAGAGACTGGAGCTGAACCTCGTGTTTTACAAAGTGATCTGGAACCTCAACCTGGAATGTGAGTGCTAAGAGTTCTGTGGTAAGCTGATGCATGCACCTGAAATGTAACAGTAAGGATGCCAGTTAGGCTCTTAGGCTATACTGGCTGGTAAATGCTATGTAACTTAGAAGTAGATGGGAAAACAAGAGACAACACAATTCAGGAAAAGATATACCCTTAAGTCACGTACTGGCTTGATTTTATTTCAGTCTGACACAAGCTAGAGTCATTTGGGAAGAAGGAACCTCAACTGAGAAAATGTCCCTATTAAGTTGGCCTGTGGACATGCCTGGAGTGCACTTTTTTTTTTGACTGGTGAACAATGGGGGCGGTGGATTTACTGTGAGCAGTGCCACTTCTAGGCTGGTGGTTCTGGCTGCTAAAAGAAAGCAAGCTGAGCCAGCCAAGGGGGCCAAGTCAGTTAAAAAAAAAAGTATTCCTCCATGGTCTCTGTTTCAGTTTCTGTCTCTGACTTTCTTTCATGTGGTCTGTGATTGTGATATGCAAGCTGAAATAAACCCTTCTGTTCCTAATTTGCATTTGGTCATGGTGTTTGCCCACAGTAATATAAAAGCCTAACTAAAACAAATCATACTGACCCACGTAGGAGTCCAGGGTTTGTATACTACTGATTACATGGCCTCAGACCCGTTTCTCAATGGGCTTATGCTTCTTCTTTTACACAACAAGAATAACAATTTAGTTTGAAGACTCTTAAAATATTAAAGAGAATATAGAACTAAATTTCTTTTTAATGTAGGTAATATAATGTTTGCCACATGAGAACTTAAAATATGCAGTTCTCTACTAGCTATAAACAAAAGAAAACATAAATAAGGTCTATATTTTTGCAGATTGTGGTGCATGCCTTTAATCCCCAACACTTGGGAGGCAGGGGCAGGTGGATCTCTGCGTTAGAGGCCAGCCTGGTCTAGAGTGAGTCCAGGACAGCCAGAGCCACACAGAGAAACCCTGTCTCAGAAAAAACAAAAACAACAAGGGGCAAGGGGGGGAATCAAAAAAGAAGATAGAACTTTATAATCTGGAAGAGATTCCTTTCTTTTTAATTTTATTTTATATTTGATAGGTTTATATTTTATATGTTTATATTTAATATATTTTATATGTTTTGCTTGCATGCATGGCTGTTTACCACTTGTGTGCCTAGTATTCATGAAGCCCAGAAAAGAAGAACTGATTTCCTGGAACTGGAGTTACAGACAGTTGTGAGCCAGCCTGTGAGTGAATTGAACCTGAATTGAACCTGGGCTCTCTAGAAGAACAGCCAGTGTCACTAACTGTTGATCACTCTTTAGCCCCATGCAAGTATTTCTTGTTAGCTCCAAAAGAACTTAAGAGATTAGTAACACTAGTTAGTTGGTTTTTGTTGTTTTTTTTTCCCCTTTCTTTTTCTTTTTGGATTTTTTTTTTGCATGTTTTTTTTTTTTTTTTTTTCTTTTTATACTGTTCTTCATGCATTCCCTAAATTCTTTTTCTTGGTATGGGTACATCACTATGTCTGTTAACCATAACTGGTCTGAAAGCCTTAAAAACACAGCAAATGGAGACTCAGCAGGAAAGGAAGATTTCCTGACATATCTAGCCAGAGGGGAAGAAGGAAGAGGCTGTGCATACAAAGAGAGCTGCTCAAGGGGCTGCAGAGATCCAGCAGTTAAGAGCAAATACTGCTCTTGAGAGCAGAGTTCAGTTCACAAAAGCCAATAGTGTGCAGAGGGCTCACAACTGCCTGTAACTCCAGCCCTAGGAAAACCTACCCATCTGGCTGACCAGGGCACCTGAACTCAATCACACATACACATACACAGATACACTCACATACATATCATTAAAAATAAGCCTTTTTATTTTCTTTTGTTTAAGGCTGGCCTAGACAAAGTTAACCAAATCAAGAGGATGAAAATAAAGAAAAGAGAAGTGGGGTTCTAGGTTCTGCCCATTTTCACCTAATAAAAGAAAAACGAAGGTAGGGGAGAGTCAGTAGAGTCGGTTAGTTCCCACTGTGACCAGCAGATGACGGCATCCACTCAACTGCTGCTTGAACAAACGACACTTCAGGCCACATCAGGTTCAGCCGCTTGCACCTATATGTTGTAACTTGAAACATGCCTAATGCAAGAAAATCAGTCACCACTATAGTAGAATTTGAAATCACAAATTTGGGCTAGCCTTTTAAGAGAACAATTACTATTGGTATTAGAAACAATAACAATAAAAGTAAGAGACCAGGACTGAGAAAAAAATCAAATAGCAGAAATAAGAGAAGGCTGGCATTGAGACACACTGTAATCTCAGCCCTGGAGCATGGAGTAAGGAAGATCAATGCAGCTGCAGCCATCTTAAAAAAAAAAAAAAAGCCCATGGTGGTGGTGGGTACATAGTGAGTTCCAGGAAGCCAGGGCTACACAGAGAAACCCTGTCTCAAAAAACTGTAACTAAATAAACAAATAAATACAATAAGAAAAATGTTATTTCAAGAGTTGGAAGAGGGAGTTAAACAGTATCAAAACAGAAGAAAGTGAGAGCCAAGGATGCAGTCGGGCTGTGATTGCTACTTTTGTTTACTTCCTTGTTTCACTGAGGTACTGGATGTTAGGAGCCACTGATAATCTCTACCTACCATTCATTACTGTTCCTACTACAATCACACACCATAAGCCTCCTGATGTGACAGTCCAGGAAGTTTACAGCACAGCTGGTGTGTACTTTGTGAAACCAATAAAACCAATCAGAGTCAGCCTCTGTAGAGGGTAATCCTAACTGTTAACTTGACTATGGTTTAGGATCTTCAGAGACAAACCTGGAGGTAGGTGTGTCTGAGGGTGGAGTCAGATAGGTTTAAATGAGGTACCAAGACCCAGCACTGTTGCGCGCTGCACTAACAGGAGAGCGGGCGGCACACGGCCTCTACTGGCTGACTGCTGATGCAGTGACCGTCGGCCTCACGCCACTGTCACCAGGCCTTCCGTCAGAATGGACTTCCCATCATGAACCGAAGAAATCCATCCTTCCTAAAAGTTGTTTTCAGGGATTTTGTCACAGTAATGAGGTAAGTTAAGTTATACAGCCCCTAAAGCTAATGACATGGTATAAATAAGCTAAAAAAACAAAAAAACAAAAAACCAAAAAAAAAACCACAACAAACCAAAAAACAAAACAACAACAACAAAACAGAAAAGTGAAAACAATATAAAACAACCCCCCCCCCCCAATAATCCAACTGACATTAGAAAAGGGGAAGGATGGGCTACTGCAGGTCTCACCAAGACACAAATAACAGTCATTGTTGATTGTTGTGGTTTCTGTTGCTGTTTTTTTAAATGATTTGTTTTTATTTTATGTGCATTGGTGGTTTGCCTGCATGTGTCTGTGTGAGGATGTCAGAAATCCTGGTGCTAGAGTTACAGACAGTGGCGAGCTCCCACAGGGATGCTGGGAATTGAACCCAGGTCCCCTGGAAGAGCAGCCAGTACTCTTGATCTCTGAGCCATCTCTCCAGGCCCTGCTGTTTATTTTTAATAGAAAAGCAGGAAATACATTTGGTTTGGGGTTAAGATGGAATTGGGTTCACAATATAAGTCCCCAACAGATGTTGTGGCAGAATGGTATTAACTGTGAAGCCATGAAGAAGAAGCAGGGTCCACAGTTGCTGCAAAGGTCACCCCTATTCTGACTCCATGGATGCAGCTTCCTTGTTTTTTGAACATGTGCCCTGACCCCATCTGACACCTGGACAACATTGTCTGTAGTGTTCATGTGGCTCCAGTAGCATGGTGATTTGAGAGAAATCACGTCAGTTTACCTGAGTTTCCTTATAGGACTGAGGAGGTATTTAACCCCTGCCAGGTCAAAACAGAACACACTGACAAGTTATTGTTAATCTCCTCAAGAATAAGGTCATTGTGAGTGGAACTGCATCCTGGCTGTAGAGCACTTTTCTAGTATGTGCAAGGAAGACCCTGAACTTGAAACCACAGAACTGAGTTGGGGGAGGCTGATCTACACTGAGGTGTCCTACTAACCCAGCACTGTGTGTGTGTGTTGGGGTATGTGTGCTAGTCTATAATGAGATGTCCTACTAACTCCAGTACTGGCTGGAGCGAGGGGAGGCTGATCTACACTGAGATGTCCTACAAACCACAGCACTATAGTGTGTGTGTGTGTGTGTGGGGGGGTATATACTGAGATGTCTTACTGGTCTCACCTCAAATTCTGAACAACCAGAGTTTATAGTTCATATTTTTTTCCTTCTATGACTATACTCAACTAATGGCCAGATTTAAAACGACAAAAGTATACAGCATATATATAGGTCTTTCCTATTTTATAAATCAATAAAAGATTTAGAAATATATTGTCCTGGGCCTGCAAAACGGTTCAGTGGGTAATGATACTTGCTGCCATTCCAATCCTGATGACTTGGGTTCAATCCCTGGAGCCCACGTGGTGGAAGGGAAAGGACTCTATAAGCTGTCCTCTGACTAGCGTGTGCATAGAAACACACAAAATAGTATTTAAAATGCACTGTCATAAGGAGATCTTAACAATGTCCTATTTCTAAAAGACTGTATTTGACCTAATTGACCTTACTTTTATTACAAATATCCATTTCTCACCAAATCAGAGACTTTGTTACATTCTACTACAAGTGAGGAAATGGGGCTGGGCTGGGTGGCACGCCTGTCATGCATGCATGAGGACCTAAGTTCATATTCCCAGCATCCACGTAAAATCCAGACGTGATAGTAATCCCAGTGTTAGAAAGGTGGAAACCTGAGGCTTCGAGCAAATCAGTCTAAACAAACAGATGCGTTCCAGGTTCACTGAGACTGTTGGTGTATAGGCAATTAAACTGGCCTGCCCTCAGGGGCCTTCAGGGGCCTCTGTCCTCTGTCATCACCTGCACCAGGTGCTCCAAGCCCATGGGATATTAAGGGCCTGCCTGCCACCCCAGCTGGTGCTCTCTTGCTGTCTTTCTCTCTGTCATGGGTGTCCCCCTTATCTCCCTCCTGCTCTTTCCCCTCCCCCTTTCCCACACTAAACTTCCTTTATACCAGGTATTTTGTGTGGACTAATTATTACAACAGAGACCCTACCTAAACAATTACATGGAGAGTGATTGTACAAGATACCCAACATCCTCCATATTCATGTACCCCTACACAAGTACATGTATGTACACACACCCGGACACACACACACAGGAGTAAGGAAACATCACTGACCTTTGTTGTCTGCTGCTATAAATCCCAGGATATTTTCATGGCGTAACATTACAGTCTGATAAATCTCTGCCTCTCGGAACCACGAACGTTCTTCTCTAGAAGAGAATATCTTCACAGCAACTTCTTCTCCCCGCCACTTGCCTCGCCAAACTTCTCCAAACCGACCTTTGCCAATGCTTTCTTGCAGCACAATGGTCCTGGCAATTGTTCTTTGAACAAGCAATGGTAAACCTAAATACAGAAATCAGTACAACAGAAATCATTAATACTTCAGAGAGAGGGTTGGAAAGGCAGACTACATTTGCCTCTCCAACCCCAAAAAGTAAAAAGGAAACAACAACAACAAAAAACAATAGTAAATATAGTAAAAGAATCCAGAAACACTGCCCAGAGATATGGGGAAGTAAGCTGAACTTTTCCTTAAAGGGATAAGGCAAAAGCAGATGAAAGAAAGGAGCAAAGTAGTGTTTTGGTACCAGTCTCATTAATGAGAAAAGACATGAATGTCAGTGAAAGAAAAGGTAAGCTGTACCAGAAAATAAATGGTTCTAAAGACAAGAATCCATGATGACCAATGGGGTGTGTTGGGAGATAGTCTTGTGTACTGTGTATTCAGATGCTGATTTCTGTGCCGAGATCTGGTTGCAGTGCGGACGTGAGCCCTGTCATTTCTATGAAGAAATCTCCTGTCTTAATGTTGTGTAAAAATTGTTTTCTGTCATCTCTGATTAATAAAGAAGCTTATCAGCCTATAGCAGGGCAGAAAGAACAGGAGGCAGGACTTCTGCCCCAGTCAAGGGGGTCTCAGGTAGAGACCAGAGAGAGGAAGAAGGGCAAAGAAAGAAGAGAAGGATGAGGAAGTTTCCATGAGGACAAAGCTGGAGCAGGAAAGGCCAGGGCGAGACTAGATGGCAAGTAATGGGTACATGGCTAGGAAATAGCCAGGCTAGTGTAGACAAGTTAGATGAATATCTGCCCAGTTACCGTGAGTGCATAAGGCTTGTTAAAGAATCTAACAGGTCTCTGCATCGATTATTTGGTAGTTAGGGTGGTACTAGAAAAGGCCCCTACTTTTACAACAGGAGGGCTGAAAGATTCTAAAAACACAGCCATGAATAGGTAAAGTGACTGTAAACTGATTTTAGAAAGGTGAATCTAGTAACTGCTTTATTTATTTAATAATATGAACACAACAAGCAGAAGTAAATTCTGACCTGAATTTTATTAAATCATTTTTAAAAAGCCACAGAAACCATTTCAAGGCAAGCAATGTACTTGCTAGAACCTGGCTACCTACCTGAATTAGTATGTGCAAGAATGATACAAAACAGTATTTTATTAGCAAAACAAAGAACAAATGGTGCTCGTTTTTATACAAACCTGAGACAGGAGATACTTAAAACAGTCATTGTTAAAACAGTCATTGCAATGCTATCTCTGGATTGTAAGCAGAAGCGGAGTAGAGAAATCAGCGTTTGAATGAATAAGGGTAAACTTTGCATAGTGCACGAAACATTATGCCAAGAGAACTTGCTTTTATCAGCGGAGCCATTGAAACAGTCCCATTCAGAGTGTGTGACTGGCATGCAGACTGAGTAAGTTAGTACTTTAATACCTGCCAAACCTTTTGAAAGCAATTCACCACAAGGCGTCTTTGCAAAAACCAATATACCCCTATACAACAAAAACTGAGTGTCCTTAAAACCTTTTGTTTAAGTTGTCCTTATGTCTCTGACCTTCTTAATGCTGCAACACTTTAATACAGTCCCTTATGTTGTGACCCCAAAAACAAAAAAATATTTTCATTGTTACTCGGAACTGTAATTTTGTTACTATCATGAATTATAATGTTAAGATCTGTGTTTTGTGATGGTCGTAGGTGAATGCAGGTGAATGCTGTGAAGGGTCGTTTGACCCTCAAAGGGTTCACAACTCACAGGTTGAGAAACACTGATACAAAGTAACTTACTCTGAAAACAACGTAGTTGAGCTTTTTAAATTAATTGACCTTGTCTTACTCTACAGTATATATTTGTAAATGATTAGTGATTTACAGATTTAATATTTGTAACAATTATGAGTTTCAGTAATTTATAGTCTCTCATCCACTAAGGAGTTGTCATTTTAGTGTTTACTTTGTTTTATTGTGTGTATGTACATGAGGGTGTGCATGTTTGTGTGTATATTAGGGACATGTGTGTACGCATGTATGTGAAGTCCTCAGGCACCAGCCACCTTATTCTTTGAGCAAATGTCTCTCATGGAGACCTGGGGCTTACACAAATTAGGCTGGCTGGCCTCCCCACTGTGGGATTACAAGTGTTTGTGTCACTATGCCTGGTATTTTACCATGGGTTCTGGAGGGTGAATTTTGGTTCCGATGCTTGTAGAAAAAGTGCTTTACCAATACCAGGAACTGTGATTTCACCTCACATTGACACTAACAAGTAAAATAGCAATGTACATCATGTTCTATTAGTACTTTACGTAATTTATAGGCACAAAATGTGTGTCACTCATACTCTACACTCAAAGCCACTATGGTGGTTTGAATGAGTACGGCCCACATAGGCTGATGTATTTAAATGCCTGATCCTTGGTGGAACTGTTTAGATGATTAGGATGTGTGGCCTTGTTGGAAGAAGTAGATATAGCCTTGCTGGAAACAGTGTGTCACCAGAGTGAGTGGTCTTTGAGGATTTCAATGCTATCATTCCCAGTGAGCTCTTTGCATCTGCTTGTGGATCAAGATGTAAGCTCTAGCTACTTCTCTAGCACCATGCTTGCCTGCCTGTTGCCATGCTCTAAACCATCATGGTCATGGACTCTCTAGAACTGTGAGCCCCAAATTACACGCTCTACTGTATAAGTTGCTTTGGTTATGGTGTCTTATTACAGCTTAAGGCAGCCACATACTAGACAAATAAAGTCATTGACAGTAAATGAAGCCACTCCCTCTTTGGCTCCCTGACTTGAAATATTTATGAATCCAAACACTACAGCCCACAACAGTTCTCACATGAGTTTTTCCTCTTTGTGCTAATCCACCCTCCTGATGTCCTACAAAGCAGTTGGCAGTCTTAGCAGAAAGCATTGCTTTTGTGTACACCCACATGGTGGCGCATTAATCGACTCTAACTCTAGTTCCAGAGGTTCTGATACTCTCTCTGACCTCCAAGGACACCAGGCATGTACACAGTACATACACACGCACAGGCAAAAACTCATACAACACCCAATTTTTTTTAAAAAATCATTTATTTCACATGGCATAGTGTAAATACTGACTTATTAAGTTTTCTCAAAGCCTTGTATAGGACCACAGTATTTATTAAAAGAACCGTTTTCCCCCTTTTTTCCTGGCTTTTAGAGACAGGGTTTCTCTGTATAACAGGGCCCTGGCTGTGCTAGATTCACTTTGTAGACCAAGCTGGCTTTGAACTCACAGTGATCTGCCTGCCTCTGCCTCCCCGAGTGCTGGGATTACAGGTGTGTGCCACCATGTCTGGCTATTAAAAATATCTTAAGTGCAGGCAAGATGGTTCAGTGAGTAAAGAGGCTTGCTGCCAATCCTGATGACCTGAGTTGGGTTCCCAACACCCACGTGGTAGAAGGAGAGACCTGATTCCCCAGAGTCAACTTCTGACTTCCACATGTATACAGTGTCATGCACATGCATGAACACATACACACTTCATTTGTTACTAACAAATAACAATCAAAAATTTAAAAAAAAAATTTCTTTACAAAACATCCTGAAGAGTCCATTTCAGGGGGATGGAGAAATGGCTCAATAGTTAAGAACACATGCTACTCTTTCAGAAGACTCAAGCTGAGTTCTCAACACTCATACATTAGGGTGGATGACCTCAACAGTTCTCAGCCCTCATGACCTGTATGTAACTTCAGCTACGGGAATCCCATGCTCTCTTCTGGCCTCAAAGAGCACAGACACATAACAATCATTCACAAATACACACACACAAATTCACATAAAAAATAATAAAATATGAACTACTCTGAGAAAAAGAGTAGGACCATAAAAGAGTTCATTTCAAGAAATGAATCTGGAAGGCAAGTAATAAGCAAAAAAATAAGCTAAGTAAAGGTGTGGCAGTACAGGCCTGTAATACCAGCACTTGGTAGGCTAAGCCAGGAAAACTGCTAGCCTGAGCTACAGAGACCCTACCTAAAAGAAGAAGGGAGGGAGGAAGGGAAGAATTAAAAACAAGCATAAACAGAAATCTGAAAAAGTTTGACAGATTTAAGAGACAGAGACAGTAATGACTAATTAAAGCTATTAGCCAAGCAAAAATTGTGTCTCCTCTTTGTGAATACAAAATGAAAACAAATTTAGATTCTTCATATTACCTATATTGGGCTTAACCCATATGAATAACTGAGCAGTTTTAGATGTAACAATTTTCTTATAGAAATAAACAAGCCAGACTGGCAAGATAGTTCAGTGGATAAAGGCACTTGCTACCAATCCCAAGAACCTGAGTTCTATCTCTGGTTCTCAAATAGTTGAAGGAGAAAAATGACTTCTGATCTTACACACAGACCATGTAATATACACACACAGAAACACACATATAATAAATAAATGTAAGAACACATTTTTTAAAAACACAAGTAAGCCTAATTTAGATCTCTATATTCTGTTTTAATCTTCCATACTTTTAAAGCTGCTTGACAGAAAATTTCAACATGAAGTTTTATATGCAGTCAATAATCAAAATAAGGCTTTAACAATCATGTGCTAAAGAGACCATACACCTGTACACGTCCTCAAGGACTCTGGCCTATGAGACCAGTATCTATTTTACAATCTAATTACAGGTTAAATATGGGAATTTATGCGACCTGTGACTAACATTATTGGAGGAGGGAATAGGTCATCATCTTCAAATTTAGAGGTATTATAACTTAAGTCTTCAGCTCTCTAGATCTCAATATTAAAAAGTATCTTTTCAAGGTAGAGCTAGGACCTCCCTCCAATACACTAATAGTTCTAAACAATACACATGGGAATTCAAAGCAAAGTATGATTAGTTTTACCTTTCCTCAATGAGTGAAAGAATTTTTGGAGAATTATGAATAGACAGGACATAGTCACAGGTATGAGTCCTACATACAAAAAGGCATTAAAGCTTTAATATAAATACAGGGAAAGAGAATGCCTTTCTTGAGTGCAGAGAGGATTCTGCACACTGTGAAATGACAAAGAGATCCTAAACTAATTTTTTTTACCTTGCACAGTGCAGCGTTCTTTAGTATGTTTAAAATAAGACCAATACCTGTCAAGTGGACATAACTCATTTTAACAAGTCCTTTCACACACATTTGAACTTCACAGCAATCCAATGACATGCACTGCTCATTGCTTTTACTTTAATGATGGAATAACTTAAGCATGAGGCATCAGCTGTACAAAGTCACAGAGCTAGCAAATGATGGAGATAAGTTTTTGCATGGAAACGTCTGAAAAGAGGGGGAAGCCCACAGACAACAGAAAACCCCTGGTGTCCCTAGAAGTATATGGAAAGCAGGAGAGTAACTCCATTCTCCAATTCTTACAGCTACATTGCAAAGACAAACTGACCTATGTTGGAACTCAACTGTCATCTACACGGCAGTTTCTGGAATCTTGTCAGTCGGCTTTCTGAGTGTAAGCTGTTGTAATCTCCCTGGGTGTTAAGTCTGGCAATAAGAGAACAGATCCAAGGGACTAAGTCCAAATAGCCTATACTCACTCTAGTTTTCTGTAATTTTGGGTCCTACTTATCATGAACCAGAATCACTTGTGAGAAGATTTTTCTTTTAGAACTATTTGCACTAATTCAGAATCAACGGAGAAACTAGAAAAGTCCTAACACACTTTTTTGCCTAGTTTTCCTGCCCAAAGTTTGGCATATCTCCAGTATTTGGGCTGCTCTAGCCAGTCCCAACTTCATTGCCTGACTCTCATACTGGACTAACTAAATAGTCCCTACAGCTGCCTTGGGAGGCTTGCCTGGTTCTGTGTGCAAGCTCTCACGTGTTTTACCAGTTAGAGAAAGAACACACTATGGAGTATTCATTGCCCCATTTTACTAAAGGCTTTAGGTCACAGTAGACTCAATCTCCTCACGTAAATGAGAGAGCATGTACGCATACAGACCAGCATGTATTAACTTCCTTAAGATAAAAATGTCTATTATTACATAAGTGTTCCCATGCATTAATGTGGTTTTGTGCTTCAGGGCTATATTATTCCTCAGTCACAATTCCTACTTTAACATTCCTTTACTATTATTTATTTTAAAATCAGCCAGATATTTTGTTTCCAAATCTTCATTATAGCCACAAATTTAGCCCTTATTTGAAACTAATCAATAGTTTTCAAATGACAGTAGTCCATACGAGACCTCAGTAAACCACTTTTAAGTATTCTATATTTCTATAAGGAAACAGAAGTCAAAGAGAAAACATGGACTGACCAAAGTCACAGAGCTTGTGTCAGAATCTAGACTCGTTGATTGCTAGCCACACATCAAATTCCAAAACAGTTTTTCTTATAATGTATCTATGCATTTTATGTATATGTGTGTTTAGTCTGTATGTCCATCTACACATAAGAAGAGGGCACTGGATCTCCTGAGACTACAGTTACAGACAGTGTGAGCCATCATGTGGGTGCTTGGAATTGAACTCAGGACCTCTGGAAGACCAGCCAGTGCTCTTAAACACTGAGCCATCTCTCTAGCCCCCAAATTCCAAAATTATAAAGCAGGAACACTTCTCAGTCTTTTCCCAAACTACAGGCAAGAAAAAAAAAATATTCCCTTTGGTTTAAAAGCAAAACACTATTATGCTAACATCTATCTCAGGATGATTCTGGCAATCAGCCAGTCTATTTCTGCATCCACAAAAAGCAAAAAACAAAACTCAAAAAGCAACAAACAAAACTCAAAAAGCAAACATCATAGCACATTCCCCAATAGGACTAATTCCCCAATTTTTTTTTTCTTGGTCTTAAGCTTTTTTAAATGTAGAAGGTAAAAAAAAAAAAAAATACAATAGTTTAATTTTAAGTAATAAAATGGCCTGGTCTGATGACGCAGTAGGTGAAGGTTCTTGCCACTAAGCCTGATGACATGAATTTGTTCCCCAGGACCCATACAGTGGAAGGAGAGCACTGACTACTGCAAGTTGTCCTCTGACCTCCACATGTACACTGTAACTGGCAGGTATGTGCCTGCACACACATAAAACAATTTTTTTTTTTTTTGTTAAAACACAATTTTGTATCATGTTAAAAAGGCTAATCAGCTTCCAAATTCCAGGCCAACGGTCCCAGAACTGCAGAATAGTAGCTGCATCTCCTAATGGCAGCTCTACCTTTATAATGGTGGCCTACTTTCTACCATCCAGACTCCGGAGAAGCAAATATCACTCTATCGGGGATGATGCTTTGAAGTCTGCACAACTGTGGAAGTGAATTATTTGTTTCAACAGTAAAAGCAAGCTCCAATTTATCTACACTAGACTATGCAATGAGATAGACACCAAGCTCAACAACCTTCATTAGGCTGCAATCTGGAATAAACATTCACCCTATCCCAAAGGTTTAACAAATTAAAGCAAATGCCTCAACCAACTAAGTAATTAAATAAATTAGCAATAAATTAGCAAAAGTGACTTATTAAGTCTTAAGAAAAAAGTAAACAATAACATTACCTGATCCAGATCCTGATGTTGTCATATCATAAATTAAATCTTTTAAGGTGGTGCCCTCTGAAATGAAAGGGCGATCTAGTGATGGATCCTCTTCATTCGGCACACGATGGTGAATAACAGTGCGGTTATGGCAGATATAGACCATCAACATAAGTGCAATGCAGACGAAGCAGACTGGACCAGCAATGACAGCTGCCAGCTCCACAGGACCAAGGCTGGGTGACTGCTTTTCTGAAAAAGGTCCTCAAATGAAATAAACATCACAGAAACAGAAACAATGTAGGTGGCACTCAAATTTTTCCAAAGCCTCCATGTTTCCCTTGTTCATTACTGTCACTGCGCGCAGAGCTTGCAGGGGTCAGGGCCAGAACAACCTTTCCTTTCCTCTTCTCTGACCTCCCTTTTCAGACCCTCTTCTTTCCTGTGCATCCCCACCCCTTGTCTTAACTCATCACTGAGCTCATCAGCCAACCAACATCCTAGACCTCCTTTCCCATTTGTCACCGCAGAGAAACTAGTAAAGGAACCAATGATTTGAAACAACGTCCAATAATTCATTTTTTTATAAGGCACTTTGGTCTTTTCTTCTTATTCCAGGTCTATTGCAGGCTTATAGCAGACAAAAATAAATAAATAAATAAATACAGTTAATAAAGTTTTTACAAATTATCGACTTCCTTGTGATTCTTCAAAGGTTCATATTTTAATATATACATGGCTTGTAAGAAAAGACGCCTTACTGAGTCTGATAACCTCAGTTCAGTCCCCAGGAACCACAAAGGAGAGAATCAATTCCTACAAGGTATCCTCTGACATAGGTGTTCAAAACACACACACATATACACACACAAGCAAGATGTCTCAGTGGGTAAAGGTACTTGCTGCTAAGTGGCAACATAAGTGCAATCCCCAGAATATACATATGCAAGTAAAATCCATTCCCATATGAATTCATTCCCAAACTAACACACACACACACACACGTGCGCGCGCGCACACACACACACACACACACACACACACACACACACGAACAAGGTGGCACATGTGCACCTGAACGCATACACAAACAAACAAATACATGAATAAATTCATGTTAATAATAACTTTAAAAAATTGTTAAGAAAAAAAAACTACTGTTAAAACATCCCAGTGTCTACACCTCTCTCACAAAGAACCACTCAAGGTTCCTATGAATACACTCTTCACTGGATACAAGTGTAGCAGCTCAGAGCAGGCTCTAGAAGGCTGAAAAGGCTGGGCCCAGCAGTAGCAGTGGCATGGCTTGAGGATTACCCCATAAGGGCTGGTTGATAGTCTTGCCTCCTGTGTGTCAGGAGCTCTCCCAGTGCAGTGTATAGGACTCAGCTGTAAATATTCTTCCCATCCACACCTTCACAGTGGCGCGCGCGCACACACACACACACACTTGTAGATTTTTAAGCATTTAAAAAGAAAACAATTTTTACTAATTGTTTGTATTTCATTAGTTTTGATTATTATTCTTTTCTGTGGGCTCTCCTTGTCATTTCCTGGATATTTAATAAGCATTTTGCACTACCTATTTTCAACTTCTCATCAAATCTATTTGTACAGCAACTGGTTCTCTGAAAATAATCTGTTTGCTTGTTCGTTTTGTTTTTCAAGACTGGGTTTCTGTGGATAGCCCTGGCTATTCTGAAACTTACTCTGTAGACCAGAGTCTCTTGAAGTGAGAGAGCCGCCTTCCAAGTGCTGGGACTAAGGGTGTGTGCTCCCACTGTGCACTGAAATAATGGTTTGACTCTCTCATTTTGTAGTTAGTAACTGAAAACTGAAAGTTCTTTGCTGACAAAGTGGTAGCCTAGATAGCACAGGAGGACATTTGGTTGATCCTATCCATCCAGGCTACATCTATTGAACCACTGAATCTTTTCTTTTTTCCTTTGCTGTTTGCTAACTGGAACCAGAAATGAGGTGAGTTCTCCAAAGAGCTCTATAAATTTCCGCTTAAGAATTTCAAGTTCAAACAACAGAAATGAGAAATTCAGGAATTACCATTTTCTTTGCCATAACTATAGATGCCTATATAAATGTCACAAAGAAATCACAGGCTGGCAGAGTCCCAGAGTGTAACCACAGAGCTTCATTAGCTTGCTAAAACTAAGAGGGCAGCTGCCTCCCTTCTGTGGATGGTGGGCGGTGAACACTAACTAGGGTCTACCCTGAGTTCTGGAACTAAGTGCTTCAGAATGGAGAGTAACATTTTCTCCTGTAGCAACTTATCCCTAGTTCTTAAACTGAGGCATGCAAAGAATTTTTATTAGTCTAGTGTCATGTACACACACACACACACACACACACACACACACACACACACACACACTGCAGAAGTTACTCACAGCTTTGGTGTGTGAACAATATTCATTCTTCATATATTCTACTAGCAAAAATACAGGTTTTCCCCATTTTATATTCCTTTGACTATTAAAATAATAATCTAAGACTTGGAGAAAGTGGCCAATTTCCATTTAATTAAGAACCTTAAGCTTTAAATCACTGGCTCTACCAGGACCATTTGCTATTATTTTATGTCTACCAGTGTTCTACCTGTACGTATGCTGTGTACTACATTCATGACTGGTGCTTGAGGAGGTCAGAAGTGGGCATCAAATCCCCTGAACTGGAGTTACAGATAGTTGTGAGCCACCATGAGTACTGGATATTGAACATGGGTCCTCTGGAAGAGTAACAAGTACTCTTTAACTGCTAAACCATCTTTCTAGCCCTTCCAGGGCCTTTTAAAAAAGTATTAAATACATGGTACTACTAGACATCATTAGTGATTTAGATTAGAATTAATTTACACATACAGATCATAAATATGGTAAAATATCAGAAAAAAAAAACCATCTAGACTGTTTAGTGTAGTTGATTTCTACCCATTAAAAGGCTCTTGACTGGAATGCCTTAAGATGTAGGCATACACTCAACCAAGGACCATCTATGGATACAACCTAGAACTTCTGCTCGGATGTGGCCTGTGGTAGCTCAGTAACCAAGTAGTTTTCCAAAGTAAGGGGAACACGGACTATTTCTAACAGGATCTCAAGGGCAGGCTGTTTGACACCCCCCTCCCCCCAGGGGAGGAGCAGTCTGTTAGGCCACAGAGGAGGACTTTGCAGCCAGCCCTAAAGATACCTGATAAAACAGGGTCAGATGAAAGGGGAGGAGGTCCTCCCCTATCAGGGGACTTGGAAAGGGGCAGGGAGGAGACCAGGGAGGGAGTGTGGGGTTGGGGAGGGAATGAGGGAGCGGGATACAGCTGGGACACAGAGTTAACAAAATGTAACTAAAAAGAAAAATAAAATAAAAAAAAAACAAAACAAACAAACAAACAAACAAAAAAAGATGTAGGCATACCATACAAGGAATGAGAAATTCACTCTGAGGACAAGGGAAAATCCTAAGGACATGGTGCCCTATGAGAGTCTAGAATTCACTTTGAGTAGGCTACCCTTTCAGACACAGCAGCTCTCATGAGAGTGTCCTAACACACACCCAAGAGTCAGGCTCCTGGCCACTCATAATTCTACATCTGTCTCTACCTTCAATAAGCCAGGCTTGTTGGTTTCTGTAAACACTTGCAGTTCTAAATTTGTAGGCAGCCGAGGTGCTTTTCTTTTAGCATCCTGGAGAAAAGAAGGGAGGATGCTACTACAACAACTTACCTGTGGTTGGGAGTTCTATTTTATTGCAGTGGTCCTGACTGCAGCAGTACGTCGTAGTAACAGCCCCAGTTTTCGAAGATGGTGCACAAACAAATGGCCTGTCTCGAGGAATTAGGTCAATTTCAGCTATACACATACTATTGTGTATAACTTTGTCTGTGGTCTCAGTGACTGAGACAAAGCAGAGACCATCCGTCTCACAGGTGAAATTATCTTTTGTACAGAGGTGGCAGAAACACTGCAATGCTGGAAAAGAGAACAAAATTTTATTAGGAAAAACAATACCAAGGTTTAGTTTAAAAGTTCAACATTTACACTATTAATATATTTTTTGATCTATTATAACACAATTTATTCACTTAGAATGTCTAAGAATCACATACACATGGAAGCCAAAATAGTGAAATTTCAACCTAGGCTTCACCCATCCCCCACCAAAAAAATTTTTGCTTCCTAGAAAAAAAAAATTACACAAAATGTCATCTAGATAAGGCAAGCATTTGCCTTCCCATTTGAAACATGGTACAATTAATTACACTTATTCCTAGTGTTAAATTATATAATCACATATATACCTACTCACCCCCAAATGTGATTGGGGAACAATGTGTGAAAATACTGCCACAAACTCACTACAAGCTGGCAACACCATTTTAGTGGATTGATGATGATAAAGTAATAGGAAGAGATTCATATTGAGCCACACATTTTCTATTCATGCGATAGAAACCTGTCAGGTGCAAACCTTGAGGCACGGATCTGCTAAGTAGTATAGAGCAGAGTATTCCAGCAACAACTTTTATGTTCCAACCACATGGGCATCCGAGCTACATGCCCACTCTATCTGTTAGATCTCTGCGGCTCAACCCTAGGAACGACCCTTTTTTGGAAGGATATGCTGTCACTAACATCTTCCCACAGACACACCCATATCCTCTGATGCTAAGTGCTTCCCCAAAGTATACACAGCTTAACCGAAATGCTAATTTTATTATTTCCTCCTTATGAAAACTTAAGTTCTTTGAGTTCAGAGACCTATACCCATCCTGAAAATCCACCATATAGCCCTATGCCTGACAGCAGCATTCAAAACTGCTTGCTGAATGAACAACACAATAGGGTGCCTGGACTTTCACAGGCAAGGGGGTAGTCCAGTTAGGGGAATGGACAACAATGTTGAGACCAGGAAGGTTGATTATGTATAGGAAAGGAATAACTAGGCAGACAGCAGGCCAGAAGAAAGCCATCTTCCTGAATGGCTAATGCTGTGCAGGGAAGTTTACTTAGCAGGCCTGAGTTAAACACCCAGCATATTCCCAAGAATAGCATGTCTGTAGAACTGTCCTTGACTGGATGTGAGTGCTGAGCCTCTGGGATATGCTCTCAGATAAGAATGTTTCTGTATGTGTAAGGCTTTGGGTCATACAGTACCAATCTGACCAGATAGTTTGTATTAACAATGTGATGCACAGACAAGACCTATTTTTGTTTGTTGAGATGGAGGCAGTTAAGTCCTTACTTAGTTCAGCTGTAATGCAGACTATAAGGCTATGGACTGTGATAGTTAATCTAAATTATCCACTTGGTTGGGTTGAGAACTACCTAGGAAACTTGTAAAGCCCACCTCTGAAGGCATTTCCAGAGAGGTTTTGCGTGGTGGTAGGGAGACCTGCTCTGAATGTGGGTGTTATCTTTCTATATTCTGGAGAGCTGAATAGAATAAAATGAGAAAAGGAGAGAGAGAGACAGACAGACATAAACACATTTAAGATGATGTTCAGCCATGCCCTTCCCAACTTGATAACTGAAATCTCTAAAACTCTGAACAGACTAAGCCCTTCCTTAAAGACTAATGACAGTAATCCTCAATTTGTTTCTGTCAATGAAAAGTCTAACCACTATATTGGTTGATGACTGATTCCCCAGTAAAACCCTGGACACCAACCAAGGCTCAAGAGAGCCAGCTGAGAATTCCCTTCTCTAAGTGGTGATGTAAGGTGGTTTCATTAGATTTAGGGTGTGGACACAAACACTCAAGCCCAAAGTAAGCATAGTCTGTTATCTGGAGCATCTTGCTCGAGATGACTGTAGGAAGAAAAGTACTCTCTGTAGCAACTCTGATTTTATCAGTTGTGTTTCTTACTTGTTTCCCTTCCCACAGCCTTTTAATTTTTTCTGTCATTCTACACTGTCTCACCATGAGTCCTTCTACCAAATCATCATAGCGAAGGGTGTGTTGTCTGGGGACCCTGAACTGACTTGACAGCTAAGCTCCTGACTCGGGAATGAACATCAGGTTCTTCTCGAGCAGCTGCTTCAAAAGGTTGCTGCTGAAATCAGCACATTTGCATATTATCTTAACAGATTAACAAAGTTTTGTTTTGATGATTGTAAGAAATATTTTCAGAGCCAATGCGATGGTTTGGTGTGTTAAAGGCACTTGCCACACAACCTGCTGACCTGAGCTCAGTCCCCCAAACCCATATAAAAGATGGAAAGAATCAACTCCAAAAAGTTATCTTCTGACTGGTGTTTATTCCCTCACACATATAAATAATAATAGTAAATTGAAGACTCTTCTTTCTTCCTAGAGTTCAGTCATTTGACTTAACTCTATCCAAGTATGAAGGAAATTCAAGAAAAGAGACAGAAAACTGTTCAAAAGAGATACACAACGAGTTTTAGTTCTTTCTGCCTACTTAAACCTACCTCTCCTCTGTCTCTCATCCTTCAAGATCCTATTCAAAGATCCTCTCTACATGTGATCTCAACACCCTCCCTTCAGATAACTGCGGTTGGTTTCGTTTGTTCCCACAATAGCTCTACATACCTCAAAGATGCATAAAAATCTGTCTATAGTTTGTTGTTAGTCTCTCATTACTTTAGGAAAGGCAGTGTTTACCTTTTTGTTTTATTCTGAATCCCTAGGTGGTGTCAGAAAAATACATTTGCTACATGATTTCCCATCTAAGAGGTCACAAACATACGAAGAGAAAGCAGTCTGAGTTACACATTTTCATTCCAAAGATAAGTCTATCAACAATGATAAGCATTCTGGATCCTGAGTAACCACCGTCTATCTCCACAAGCATTACAAAGCTTTCACTGCTATTTCTGCACATTCAGGTCAAATGTCCTTCTGACACAGTTTACATACAGTGAGATTCACCGTATGCATACAACAAAAACACACAAGTAAAACTTAAATCACAGGAGCACAGCACAAGGTAAAACTGTAAGAGTTGATATAGCCAGTGCCCTGAATCCATGTAAGCCTTACATAAAGCCCTTCTTTGTAGGACACCTTGCAAACATTCACAGCAGTATATATGGCTGAAATGTTCAACGACATTTTTTCTTCTCATTTCCAACAACAATTGGTTTAGAAAACCATTTAGTAAAGACTTCAATAATAGTATAATGTGAGCCCTATCTTCCAGTAAACAAAGCATCTCATTAAAACTGATATTTGAGGAATGCTTGCTAGCAAGTGTTTTGGTTAGGTACAGGATCTCATTATTCTGAACTTACCAACAAGCCCTGAGGTCATTAATACTATCTTGAACATTACTGATGAGACCAGCCACTTGCAGCATTTATTATCACTGCAGTGAGAACAGTGAAACAGATAGAAAAATAGAGGCAGAGCTAAGGCCATTTTATGTCTACAATGAAACAGAAACATTAACTGTCATGCCAACTAACTGTATTAACTTGCATTTTGTTATTTGTAGTTCTCTTTGTATTTAATTTACAGATTTAATTTATAACTGTAAATGAGCCCAAAACATTAAGTTTTGTGTTTTCATGTCTACAATTTAAGAAACACTATGAAAAATACATTTTGCACTTTTCCTTTCAAAGAGGTCAGCATATAATAAAATTTTAGAACAGTCGATGCTGAAGAGCTTCTCCTATTACTCTTTCAAGAAGAAAGGTTGCTAGACAATATAAATATCATGTAACACAATGCACAGCAAGGCAAGAATTTAGCTCTTACGGGAATTTTAAAAGTCCATTTTTTCCAATCTAAATCAGATGATTGAATATAACATTGCTATTACATGATGTACTGGCTGGTTTTGTGTGTCAACTTGACACAAGCTCTAGAGTCATCACAGAGGAAGGAACCATAATGGATGAAATGCCCCATGAAATCCAGCTGTAGGGCATTTTTCTCAATTAGTGATTAATGGGGGAGGGCCCAGTCCATTATGGCTGGTGGTCCTGGGTTCTGTAAGTAGGCAGGCTGAGCAAGCCACAAGGAAGCAAGCCAATAAGCGGCACTCTTCCATGGCCTCTGCATCAGCTCCTGCCTCCAGGTTCCAGCCCTGCTTGTCAGAGCTGTCCTCTGACCTCTGCTCACACACACAGTGATGCACATGTACTCATTCCCATACACCCCAACATACACACAAACCATTCTTTAATCAAGCAGGGCTGGCAAAATGGCTCAGTGGCTAAAAGCACGTCCCACCAAGCCTGGGGACCCGAGTTTGAGCCCCAGAACCCACAGGGTAGAGTGAGGAAACACACTCTTTTAAGTTGTTCTCTCACTTACACACACGTGCAGTGGCACATTTTTCTCTTACACACACCACACCCCAAATAAAAACGTAATCAACACATTTTTAATTAAACTAGATCTTAGTTTTAATTTTTAAGTCTTTTTTAGATAGTATACAAAGTAATGAGTGTTATTACTGGATTTTCACACGTATGTATCAGTATGCTGTCCTGCAGTTCACCCCCCAGGCCCTCCTATCACCTTTCCCTTTACAAAGAGTCACTTTTTATGTCACATGTATTCCATTACCTTCTCACTTTAGATCCTTCACATCCTCACAATCTCTGTTCTAGATCCATCACACACACTTAAATCCAGGTCTCACATGATAGAAAACAGCATCTGTCATTCTGTTTCTGGCATATTTCATTCAACATGATTTACAGTTCTATCTGTTTTCCTATATGAATACCACTGAACCAAATTCCGTTGAATACATGAACTACATTTTTGTGCATTCATCTGCTGATGGACATCTAAGGGGGTTACATACCCTTGCTGTTATGAACAGTGCAGCTATAAACATGAATATGCAAGTATCTCTGTTGTCCTGGTTAGTATGTCAATGTGACACAAGCTGGAGTCATCAGAGAGCAGAGAGCCTCAACTGAGGAAATGTCTCCATAACATTAGTGATTGATGGGGGAGGGCCCAGCCCATTGTGGGTAGGGCCATCCTT